CTTCATAGGATGCTCACATAGTCTCTGACGTTGTAAATTGACGCATATACGGATGGGGGTATCGGTTCTTTTCAGAATTTTCAATCTGTTACAGTTTGAGCTTAGCATGTTATTTTGTTAATATAAGGATTATATGCGTTCTAGTTGGTCGAACAGCTTTTTTAAGCCAAGATGTTCACCCTATTCACAGTGCATGCCAGTTAAAGATAGAAGCATATAAGGTGGGATTAATACAAGTTAATTAAAATTAAAATTCCATAATTAATATAAAAATTGATATTAAATTATAAATATTAAAATTTAAATATAAAATCTACTAAATATTACATCTATTAAATTGATTGTGTAATTACATTTTCCTTTTACTTCATATGTTAGGGAATGGGGCACAAGAAAGTCAATGTTGATTTTTGTTGAACGATGATGTCATATAGAGTAAATTATGGTTTCTTCCGTAAACCGAAAGCATGGTCGAAATTTTCCGCCCTCTAAAAATCAGGTCAACTTCAGCAAGTCTTCAAACCAAAGACTGGGCTAAAAAGTTAGCTTGTGCCTATTAAGGGATCGAATTCGAGATAATATTAATTAAAATTTTGAACATATATATATATATATATATCATGCTCAAAAAAGAATTGGTTTACTATGATTATTATCATTAACCGTTATTTAAAGTACTAACATGTCATGTTAAACGTATCTTCTTCCTTTTTTTTCTCTCTTTATCGGTTTAAACCCGTCGAAAAATATTCTAGTCTCATCAAATTACAACAAAAATTAAAAGGTAAAGTTTTTTGATTTGTCACTTTCAATTGTCAGATAAATTTAAAATTGATCTTTTTCTCTTCTTTTGTTTTTTATTTGTTTATTGTTTGCTACTATTAGTGGTTATAACTGGTTACAATGATCAAATGAGACTAGTGACGGTAGTTTTGTGGTTGGTTTGATCGTGGAAGGTATTTGTGACTAGTGGTGTGGTGTTTGGAACTTGGATGAAACGACGGTGATGAATGATTCGGCGGTCGTGAAAAGATTATGAAACTCTTGAGTACGGTAGATACTTTATTTAGAAATGCCAATAATCAGAAGAACGGTGGATGGTGAGGAAATAAGAGAAAAGAGGTCGATAACTGTCAATTAATATGAGAAACTTAAGGGCTTTTTGAAAGAAAAAAAGATCACTCTAATGTATCGTGTTAGTATTCTTAACGACAGCTGACAATAATAATCGTACTAAAAAGAGATTAAAAATTCAGTAGTTATATTATAAGTTTTAAAAGTTTAATGAATAAATTACAAATATTTTAAATTTTTAATAAACATTTATACAACTTACCCTTAATTTTAATAGGATAATGACTTGTATTATAAAAAATTGAATTTACTTGTATATTTGAGGCACGGCAAGAGGGAAGACTCGGCAAACTTCCCTCAACGCGTATCGGATACGGCAGGACATGTCCCATTCATGTTTTGTTTTTCTAGTTTACCAAAGAGAAGAATCACTACAAAGTCCACAAAAATCCATCATTTTTCATTGATTTTTAATGACCTCAACATGTTCCAATGCTTTCATTGGTTCCACCTAAAGACTAAGCACAGTAAGCAATTAATGAAAATGAAAATATTTTTTTTGTTTGTTCTTCCGATTTCTCAAACTTTATCATGATTAATCCGAACCGACCCAAGTTACACACTTAATTTTAATGGGTGAGTCTATTAACGAGGTACAAAACCTCGAACTAAAGACATGTTTAAATTATATCATTTTATTTACGGATACCAATGACTCACGCCAAAATTACCTATCTTTAAAGTCCCAAGTCTTTGGCAGCCATTTTCTCCCAAGCACTTGAACTTGGAAGTTTCTCATGCAATTGCATGGACCACTACGATTAGCACATCAAGTGGGAGCTTAGAATTATATATATTTCATGCCATTTCACAGTTTGCAGTATAAGTTCATCACAATCTTGTTGTCTGAAAAAAAAATCAAGCCTTGTTATTATGGATTGTTCCATATTCTCTACTTCAACAAAGATTTTGTTTTTCCGTGCTTCCTTGTTGTCTATCATCTTGTTTTTCACGTGTCTTAATATAGTCCGTAGCACTGCAACTGAGTTTCGTTATGGCGGTCACTGTGGTTCAGTTGTTCCTGAATCGAAAGCAGTTGATGAGGAGTTCAAAATCTCACCATTTCCTGGACGTCAAAACGGTTACTACAACGGCGGCAATAATGTCCTGAATCGTAGCTCCGATCAGTATTATTATCCACCTGCGTCGAAAGTTCTCGTTTTCGAGACTCACCATGTTTATACGACTCGTGTCGAGGATGTCTTCAAGGTGGCAGGAAACCTGATCTTCCAAAGCTCGTACGACTACGAACAGAGTTTCTCCAATCATGGGAGATACTACTATCCGTATTCGAGTGATTCGGGTGTTCGTGGAACTCTGGACTTCGATTTTCATGGATTCTGGTCGAGAACGACCGGGAAGCTTTGCATGGTTGGATCGGGTTATACTTACTCCAAAGAAGGTAAACTGCTTCGTCTTAGAGCTGTTCTTAAGTTGAACAACGTTAAGGATTCAAGTGATATCAATACTTTAATTACTGGAACCATGGATAGCTTGAATCCTGCCGATAATCCGAATTACTTCGATCCGATCTCGGTGTTGATGTTTCCTCAAGGAAGCTACAGATACACCAAGGTTTTGAAAAACTTTATTCAAGGGTGTCCTGGGAGAACTGATGTCCCAGAGAAGTCATCTCTCAGCTTATCAAGGACTAGACATGTATGTGATGTGTTCTCGGTTCAAGATAATGCTTTCGAACTCGAGTATTCTAGTGGTTGTGGTTCTTCAAAGAGTTGCAGTCCTCTTGGTGACGGCCTTGGATATTCGCCCCGGTTTATGTATTTGAGCATGATTCAGTGCTCGGATGATATGCTAAGCTTGAGGTTTCTGATAGAATTTCCTGGTGATAATACCTATATGAGGTATTCTAGATCTTCCAATTTCAGTTCTTCATTGATTGGAGAAGGATCTTGGGATTCAAAGCAGAATCGGCTCTGTATTGTTGCTTGCCGAATAGAGGATGCATCAAGCAGCTCGTTGGAGAAGTCTCATGTTGGAGACTGCAGAACAAGGTTGAGCTTAAGATTCCCAGCAATCTTGTCTATCAGAAACACTAATACTCTTGTAGGTGAAATTTGGAGTGAGAAGGCTAGGAATGAATCCGGTTTCTTCGATACGATTGTGTTCCGTGACACCGAATATAACAGGGGGCGAATTCAACTTCAAGGTTTGAAGTATGAATACATGGAAACTGACCAAGTAAAGAAGTCATGTCCAAAGAAGAGTATCAATGGGAACAGCAGTAGACAGTACCCGGATGGCTATTCTGCAGACATGGCTTTTAGTATGTCAATCAATGGTCCAAAAGGAAGAATCGGATGGGGTTCGTCGAGTCCTCTTGCGGTCGGGGATCAGCCTCATCAGATTTTTCCCTTCCTAATACCATCCTCAAGCTCAAGGCCTAAAAGTTCTGATGCTGGTGTCAGCTTGCTTAATATCAGCTATGAGATGAGAATCAACCTATATCGTTCGGAATTGTTTGCTGGCCTCGATCCGTTTAACCGAACTTCAAATGGATATTTGAATATCCTTATTTCTGCTGAAGGATTTTATGATGCTGAAACAGGTAATCTGTGCATGGTTGGCTGCAGACATTTGGGGTCACACAACAAAACAACGGACTGCGATATCGTTGTAGATGTCCATTTTCCTCCATTGAATTCAGACAGGAAAGGAAGCAAAATCAAGGGAAGCATCAAGAGCACTCGGAAGAAAACCAATGATCTGCACTTCGAGCCTTTGGAGTTTTCAGGAAGAGCTTATTATTGCAGTTGGGCAGCGGAATCGATTTGGAGAATGGATTTCGAGATGGTCATGTCTGTCATATCCAACACTCTTGCGATTGTCTTTGTAGTACTTCAAATCTTTCATGTGAGGAGGCACCCTGGAGTTTGTCCTTCGGTTTCACTTCTCATGCTTCTTATTCTAGCCCTCGAATACTTAATCCCTTTGGTTCTAAATCTTGAAGCAATGTTCGATCAAGATAGCGAACGAACCATCTGGGCAAGAAGTGGAACACGGCTAGAGATGAACGAGGTGATCATTAGAGCCGTAACAATGGTGGCTTTTCTGCTTCATATCCGTCTTCTGATGCTCTCATGGACAGCTAGATGTTCCGAAGAAAAGAACAGAGCCTTGTGGATTGCTGAAAAGAGGGGGCTCTACTTATGCTTACCAGTATACATAGCTGGAGGTTTAATCATCAGCATCGCAGGGCAGCATTCGTCGTCCTACATAGAGCAGACCATTTTGGGAGGATCTAGAGCATATGCTGGTTTGATCCTTGATGCCTTTCTTTTCCCACAAATCGTCTTCAACATGTTCCTGAACTCGAAAGAACTGGCTCTTTCTAGATTCTTTTATATTGGATTCACCCTCGTTCGCCTGGTTCCCCATGGATATGATCTCTACAGGACACACAACTATGTTGATATGACCGACTCATACATTTATGCAAATCCTACTGCAGATTACTACTCAACTGCTTGGGACTTCATTGTTCCTATGTTGGGTCTGTTCTTTGCTGCAATCATATACTTACAACAACGCCTTGGAGGTCGATTTTTCCTTCCGAAGTGGTTCCAGGAATCAGTCACATATGATGAACTTCCAGTGGATTCAGAGGAACAATCTCCATTGAAATCTAGCTCCTAGATACACCATTTGTTACTTCTACTTGCCATGGAGATGTTTCGAGTTCTGTTTCCGAAATAATACCGTTACCATAAACGGGTCTGATGTTTCGAGTTATGTATTCTGAAACTGGTATTCTCATCCGATGCATGTATTCGAATATATGGAAAAAATTTGGAAAAAAAAAAAGATCCGAACTTGAAAAAGGCTGATTCATGGTTATAAATTCCTTTTTTTTTTACAACTATGACCAATACATTATACATGCAATGTTTATGCATCTTAAATACATCTTCTACAAACAGGGCATGTTAGATGATTCCAGAGCCAATGATCAATGCACCTCGAATGAAACATGTGCTTACAATCCGGAAAAACCCTGCATGGTTCACCAACCACATATTCATCCAAGCAAATCGGACAGTCTTCGGTTTCCATCGGATGTTTGTCGACCCCGTAAACCATCGGAGGCAATGCTTTCTCCATGGCCTGCTGCCTCAACACTTGTCTGCAATGAATTCTCTCCGGGGAACCTTCGACCGTATCCAACGGTTGCAAATAGTGAACTATTATCGCACGGTGAGTCGCAGTCCGAACTCGATGAATCCCTCTTCTTATCATATCGGAAAACAACTTCCCGAATATCGGCCAATTGAGACATTCACAGACAACGTAATCGAACAAGAAGACGATGGATGTAGCAATGATGCAGGCTCCAACAATGCAGGATAATAAAACAATGGCAATGCCAAGGGCTGCAAGAGAAGATATTATAAGAGGTAAGTTTATTGAATGGATTTCGAACCTTGGAGTAATCATCTTCATAAATGTCTGGTTTTTCCTTTCTTTCTTTTTTCTTGAAAATTACTTACATAGAAAATAGATATGACAGAGAAAAAAAATATGATGTAGATCCAGATTTCTTACAATATTAGAAAATAGATGGCATTGACATAGTTATATGTATACTACATGGAAAAATGTAAAATTAATCAGTTCAGGTGTTTATTAGTTGTTAAATTCTTGATAACATCTAAACTAGCTAAATTTAAAATATTAAATATAAATATGTATATTTAATATGATCGATTTTTCCCTATCCTATCATATATTTACAGAAGCATAAAAAGGTAATAACACTTAAAAATATCATTTTAAAAATACTCGTTTTTGACGATCAGTGTAAAGTCGTGCCACGTCAGTTGTGCTTCTCAGAAAACGTCGAAATAAAAAAAGACTAAAAATATAAAATATTATACGGATTTTTATAAAAAAAAATTACAAGTCTGATTTAAATAGAATGCCCTTTTCATAAGCACGAGCTAGACAACACGAACTTTTCTGATCTAATAAAAATTCCATATTGTGCGCGCTCTTCAGAAGCACGAGCCTGAGGGTAGCGATAACACATGTTTATAGGCATTGTCTATATGTATATAATTTCTCTTTATCATTAACAACATTAACATATTCTACAGACGTAACGTAACATTAATTTTGAACATATAGATGATAAAAATAAACTAAAACGTAACATTTAGTTTAATTTAAAAAAAATAACTGAATGACGAAAACATAATAAAAATAATATTTGAGGTATTAAATTTATAGTTTAGTTACTAGACGAGTCAAAACTGATAGTTTAGTTACTAAACGAGTTAAAATTTTAACGACATGTACTAAAATGAAACAAAAACAAAAAGTCAGGCATGGTTTTAAAAGAAATTGAAAATTTAAATACTAAAACGAACTAAAACTCATAGTTTAGGTACTAAACGTGTAGTTTATCTATAAATTAATTCATACACTGGCTTGTCTCTTGTCCTCGGTGTGGTTAGGTAACCTTGACAAGATCCGAGAGTTTGTAACCAAAACATTAGAATAGTAATAATAATAATAAAAGAAATCATTGCCTGTGCTTCCAGCGGGATCAGATTATGGATAGATGGCTGTGCTTCATTGGATGTAGTTGCAGATTCAACAACAGATTGCAACTCGAGTCGATGGATAAATCTGTGCTTTTAACTGCTTCAAATTGGCCGCGGATAACAAAGCAGTGACAATGCTGAAAAGACATATTAAGGTTGCTAGTTGCTACTCATTTATATTTCATGTTATTTTCATCTGTAGCTCCCAAGGATTTATGGTGCTAAATGCTACTAAAAGGATTTTCGTTTTGTAGGTAGCTGCAAAGGCAAGAACAAGAGGATATGACATTGTCACACCGGGAAGTGAAATCCCACGATGGCAACATTGGAGTGTTCGATTCTAATAATTTTATTGACGAGAATAAAGTGATTAATGATTTATCTCTTTTGATTTCAACGTAAAACGATCGTGGGACTGACAAATAGGTGGGTAAAAGTACGCAAGTAAATCAGAGTTTGGAACAACATCAATTAACTTCCAGAAGATGAAGCCGCTTGATATACTTGAACTGTTATCATCACAATGTAATGTTGAATTTTCTAGATTACATATTGAATCTCAAACTAATATGTATTTCATGGTTGAAATTTCTCTTCAATTATTTCACCATATTTATGCATGCATGCAAATTCCCCAAAATTATCTCACCGTCATACCATGTGTGTATGCATGCATGTTCCCTCAAACATAGTAGGAGCGAAGTTAAAATTAAATTTTAAATATATGTTTTTTTTAAATAAAAATTAGAATCAATCCATCTTGAAGAACAGAGAATTGACAAAGTAAGATCATATACTTGCGGGTGACAAGGTGACACGGCATACTATTTTAGATAATATATTTTTATTTTTTTTTTTTGGAATTCTTGATCCTTATTCTTTGAACTGACTGGGGGAGTGAAACGCAATTTTTTAATATTAATTTTATTGAGAATGACAATATATGATATGTGACGATTAATTAATAACAACGATTAGATGAGTTGATGTTTTTCTGTCAAAAAAAATATATACGGAATTATCATCTCATCACGTCGTTAACAATTTAATTATTTAATATTTTTTATTAAATTAAAAGTGATATAAAATAATATACGATCTAAGTATTTTTAATAATTTGACAATAAACGTTTTACCATATTTGCAGTTATTAGTGCTCGAACTCGTAGTCTCTAAAAATAACGATAATTATTTTAACTACTAAAATAAGTTGGTTCGTGCTAATTAATTAATATCTTAATTGAACTTAAAATCAAAATTCAATATCTGTATTGAAACGTTTTAAAATTCAATATCAAATCGATATAAATCTAATGTTTAGTAACTAAAGTTGCAATTTACCTTAAAGGAAAAACAAAAAGTAAACATCAAATTTCAAAATATCTAGAACTTCAAAGATTCCTCAGAATTCGTCTCCTTTTGGAAATGATGGAGAGTTTCTAGAGATTCAACAGCTTAGGCAACTGCTGAGCAAGAAAGAAACAGGGCAGGTTAGGCAACTTCGTTTTTTGTTTTCTGTTTTTTTTTTTTGTTTTTGGTCTGCTTCATCTGTTCATTATTTCCGCGTTCTAATTTGCATGTTCCTACCAAAGCGAAATTCCAGTTATCCAACGAACATAATAGCATAATAATCTAATTTAACTATAAATATAAAAACATTTAGTAATAAAAAAATATTATTTTATCAACGAAATTAATTCAAATAATAAGTAATTTAATATCATTTAAATATATCTCGAATTTAAAATTTTGTATACGTAAAAAATATTTATTAAGAAACTCACCAACTAAAATAAAATATAAAGAACAGGAAGATTAATAAACTTTTGGATAGCATCGTCTAGTCAGCAAACACAAAATTTACCTAAGGTGAAAAAAGCAAGCTCTCTTTTTTTATTTTTATTCGGTTGTCACATTCTTATAGATGTTGGTTCTAACAATATTTTATTTTACTGCTTGAAATCTTTTAATTTTTTTATTTTAAATTCTCTACGTGTATCTTTTTAATAATTTAAATTTAATTTAAATTGCAGCTCATACTCCTGATCTTATCTTCAGTTACCAATACAATCCTTTATCCAATTTAACTGATTATTTTTTAAAAATAAATTAATAATAAAGGAAAAGGAAAACAAATGACTGCTTGCTGTTTGTCCAACAGAAAACAATGGTGTACTCCGCAGGCCGCAGCTGTTTCTTATTTTTTCACCCACTGAAATTTTTAAATAGGCCACGTGTCCTTTCCTTCTCCTCTATAAATATTAATCTCTCTTTCTTCTCTTCATCCCCATTAAAATCACCTCATCCAAACCTAAATTTACACAAAGGAAACAAGAAAGCAAGCTTGGAAATCCAGTTTTTTTTATCAAAGAATAACCCAGTTTTCATTTCGGTCTGTTTCAGCTTCCTCTTCACCGGTAAGTTCTATCTCCATCTATGTCTCAAGTTCTATCATTTTCCCCCTTTTGGGGGTGTATTTGTTTGACCATGTTTTGGTGATTTCATCTGTGTGTATAATGATAAAGGATAGATTTTTCATCTGTGTATATAATGATAAAGGATGGATTTCTCGTTTCCAGTTTGGGTTTCTGATTCTTGAAATTATTGAATATTTTAGAGATAGATTTATTCTTGGAAGAAGAAAATGAAAAGGGAAGAAACGGGAATAAAGAGGAAAGCGATTTGGTTTATTTTAGCTTAGAACATTACATATCTATTTGATATTCTGGAATTTAAAATAAGAAATCATTTATCTAGTATGATTTTATATTAGGAGACTAAATTACAAAACATAATATCAATAGAAAATATGAATAAAATAATTAAATTATACGAGAATTTTAAATTTGCAGATGAACTATCATCCGGTCAGCCCCTTTAGTCCATCCCTATTTGAAATGATCCTTTTATTATTTTATATGGGTTCTAAACTGTTTACATCTTGCAGAATGGCTATGGAATCAAACTTAATTGAGCAAGGATCACACTTTGCTCCTGATGGAGATATTTCACTCAAGCACAAATGGAATTCGATACCAGAATCAACAAAAGAAGTAGAAAAAGATTCCGGCTGCTTCGATTGCAGCATTTGCTTCGAGTCTGCAAAAGACCCTGTAGTCACCCTCTGTGGTCACTTGTACTGCTGGCCATGCATTTACAAGTGGCTTCACGTACGAGCTTCTTCCCTCGATTCAGGCCCGCAACATAAGAACTGTCCCGTGTGCAAGGCGACCATCTCTTCCGGTTCATTGGTTCCCCTCTACGGTCACGGCACATCTTCGCAGTCACATTCCAAGAATCCCCATTCAGATATGGTCATTCCTCAAAGACCACCTCCTACATCGAACATCACAACCACTTCTTTGCATCTAAATCACCAGCAATACTTCCCTCACCCTCATGGAGGATATGCAACCTTGGCATCATCCGACCTCGGTGGTATACCGATGATGAATTCGTTCCATCCAATGATTGGAATGCTGGGAGAAATGGTGTGTGCTAGAATGTTTGGGAGCTCAAACACAAGTATGTTTGCTTATCCTAACCAGGCTTCTTACCCTTTTTCAAGGAACAACAATCTTAGGATGAGAAGGCAAGAAATTAAGGTCCACAAATCTCTTAGTAGAGTATCCATGTTTCTTCTGTGTTGCATCATTCTTTGTCTTCTCTTGTTTTGAAAAGTATTGAACTTTAGCTTGTATAGTCGCAAAAAGAGAAAAAGAAGTTATTGTTGGAAAATTTATGACGAATTCACTTGCCATTGTTCTAACTTTTCAAGCATAGTAGCATTTTCCATAAAGGAAAAAGAGCTCTCTATTTAAGACCATTTCCTACATTTGAGCTGACCTATTCAACATGAAACAAAGACTTTGTTTCCTTAACATGCTTACATTGTTTACTAATAATAATATTTAGGGGTGTTTATTGTTCAGTTTTAACTGGTTAACGGTCTATTAATTAAATATTATATTGGTCAACGGTCTTTTTATCGATTAATTCAATTTAAAATTGAATAAATCTAATTAATGAAAAATATTAAATATATATTTGATCTCTTTAAAAATCTCATACTTAAATAATATGAGATTTGTTATGATAAAATTCATACATTATTTATATAAAGAGTTTTTAAAATGTTTATAATTTTATACCTATGTATTCATTGAGTAATTGAAGATAATGCTTATATACACACATTAATTTTTATTATCTTTTTTGAAATAAAGTTTTTTACCTTTTATTTTTATTTTTTTTCATTTTGAGAAATAAAATATTCGATGTTCTATTTTAATAAATAAAAAAGGAAAAAAAATATTCAGATAAATTTAATGTCAATAAGGAGGAGAAAAGTAATATATCTCGATTCTATATTGATTAAATGGTGAAGATTATAGATTACATTAAGATAAGGTCAAAGTTTTAGTCGGTTTTAGAAAAAATCAAATTGAAAAGATGAAAAATTAGAGAAAAATGAATATTTTGATATCAATTATGTTAAAAAATGACGAACAAAACGAAGATAAATAATCGTCAAAGGAAATAAAAAGATTAAAATGTTAGATTAAATATAGAAAAAAAACAAAATGTGACGTTCATATTAAAGAATTAATGATAGAACGACTTAAATCCGTAAAACTTGAAGTTTATCGAATTAATTTTTTTATATATATAATTGAATGAAAAAAAAACAATGAAAGTTAAAGTGAGTAAACTGGTAGTTTACCCTTTTAATTATGGGATTAACCTAATCATGAATGACGAGTGCACCTTCAAAACGCCACGAAGCTCGAAACGAGAACAGAGCAACCGACCAAACTACCAAACTCTTAACGATAATAGGAATAAAGACTACATCTTTCCAACAAAAACCTCAGATGGAAGTTCCCATCAGATGTTGTCTTCAAAGATTCTGAAAAAGCCATTTTCTTCCTTTCCTACCAGAACCTTATTAGACCTAATTTATCATTCTTCTCTTCAACAACAACACCCCACTGCCTTCATCAAACCCGTGCTTTTAATCCTCAAATCCAAACCCAATTCTGCTCTTAACTTTTTCAAATGGACCCAAAGTTTCTCAAACTCTCCCCATGCCTTACCCTCCTACTGTGCGCTTATTCACCTCCTGCTACGCCATGGAATGTTTGGTGCCGCGGCACAGGTGTTCGATGAAATGGTAAATCATTCTGCTACAAATATCGATGTTCTTGAAGCTTTTAGTGAAGGTTTTAGCGATTTTGGCTCGAACCCAGATGTCGTTTTTCGGTTTTTGTTTGAAAATTACAGTAAGAAAGGGATGGTGGATATGACTTTTCATGTGTTTATGAAAATGGCTAACGAGGGTCTTTGCATCTCCAACAATTTGGTTTATAGGGCGTTGGAGTCTTTTCTTAATGCGAATTGTGTTGATATAATTGTTGATAACTATGGCGAATTTTGTAGATTTTTTAGAAGACGAGGCTTTTGTGCTTATGGGATTGTGATGGAAGGGTTTTTGAAGAAGGGGGAGGTTGGGAAGGCCTTGAATTTTCATTCAAGGACGGTTTTGAGAGGTTTAGAGATTGACATTGTTGCTTGTAACAAGATTTTGAAGGCTCTAGCTGTAAATAAGGAAATAGGAACTGCTACCAAGTTGTTTGATACGATACTAGCTTTTGGACCGTTGCCAAATGTGGTGACTTTTAGCACATTGATTAACATGTATTGTAAAGAAGGGAAATTGGATACAGCATTTGAGCTTTACAATGTTATGATACAGAGGAATGTAGTACCTGATTTAATTCTGTATTCTATACTTATTGATGGTTATTTCAAGGCAGGGAGATTGGATGAGGGGGAGAAGCTTCTCTCCGATGCTTTAGATCGAGGTATCAAGTTGGATGTAGTTGTTTTCAGCTTGGTTATCGATGCATTTGGGAAGGTAGGGAATTTGGGAAGAGTGGTTCAGCTTTATAAGAGAATGTTGGAGGAAGGTTTATCACCTAACATGGTGAGTTACAGCATTCTCATAAGTGGATTGTGTGGAAATGGTAGGATGCTAGAAGCTTGTGGCATTTTTGGTCAAATTATCAAAAGGGGCTTTGAGCCATCTCTAATAACCTATAGTAGCCTCATCGATGGCTTTTGCAAGATGGGAAATTTGAAGGATGGGTTTCACCTGTTTGATGATATGGTAGAGAAGGTCCATCAACCGGATGTTGTTGTTTATAATGTGTTATTAGATGGCCTGTGCAAAGAAGGGATGGTTAGAACTGCTCTCAGGTTCTTCTTTAACCATGTAAGCAGGGGTCTAAAACCCAATATCTTCATTTTTAATTCCTTGATGGATGGTTATTGTAGGTTGAAACAGTTAAGGAATGCCGTGAAGGTGTACATGTTAATGAGAATGTATAGCATACAACCAGATATAGTGACCTACACTTTGCTTGTTAGAGGTGCTTCTAAGCAAGGAAAATTGGATGATGCTCTGTTAGTTTTTTTCCAAATGCTGAAGAGGGGTTTTCGTGGAGATGCTATAACATACTGTACCCTCATGGATGGATTCTGCAAATATAAAAATCCAACTACTGGATTGCAGATATTTAAATTGATGCAAAGGAATGGAGTAGCTGCTGATATTGCTGTATATAATGTTCTCCTCAATATGCTTTTCAAGGAATGGTATTTAGCAGAGGCATCGACGCTGTTCTGGAAACTTGTTAAGAAAGGGCCAAAACCCGATATTATAACATACAACACGATGATATGTGGTTACTGCTCATTGCAAAGATTGGATAAGGCCATTAGCCTTTTTAAACAGCTGACTACTCCCCCATTAAGACCCAATTCAATTACTCTTACTATATTGATTGATGCTTTCTGCAAGGAGGGTAGAATGGATGAAGCTATGTTGATGTTTTCCAAAATGTCAGAGAAGGGTCCTGAACCCAATGTGGTAACATACGGTTGTCTAATTGATGGCCACTTCAAATCGCTGAACATGAGGACTGCCGCTGAGCTTCACGAAGAGATGCTCGAAAACAAAATCTCTCCGAATATTATCAGTTATAGCATACTCATCGATGGCCTTTGCAAGCAAGGATTAATGTTGGAAGCATCACTCGCATTCCGCTGTGCTTTGGATAGACATTTACTGCCTGACATTGTTGCATATTCGATTCTGATCCGTGGTTATTGCAAAGTGGGTAGGTTCATCGAGGCCAAGTTGTTATGCAAACAAATGCTCATGGACGGAATAGAGCCGGATGATCTGTTAGAACGAACCCTTGTGGAATATAATCTCTAGGATAGCATGGAAAATGAGTCATGTACAGAGATCTTCTTGTAGTCCAATTTGTGCTCATGGATGACTGATTTACATTTACAGGGCTGAATTATATTTCTAATTTACAAAAGAATGTAATACTGAATTTGCTCAAATGTTAAAACCTGTTTTGAAGAGTATTATATTGAAAAAAAGGTTAGTGTTTGGTGAATGAAGTACTCTTTTATATGTTTTAAATTAAATTATGAAGTTAATGATTAGTAAATTATGCGTTTAATTAGGGCAAGTATGTTAGTTTTATAGCATTTTATGTTCTAAATTATTTTTTTAAATAAAATATTGTACAATCTAACACATTAATCTGTTTCATGCTCAAACTTGAATTCAATGTAGCTCGGCTTCCTCAATTGTTTTATTGTTCATATTTTATAAAATATTTGAAAAAAACTATATTTGTATTAATATTTACATATTTTTAATTAATTCATTTCAAACCGAATTAACTCAAAGTCAAATTAAATTGCAAATAATACATGTTCGAATAATTAGAACCAAATCAATATAAATTAAATTGAAATCCAAAATATATTCAGATTGAGTCCATGAATCTTTAATATGGCATGGTTTAATTACATCTGGTTCTCATTGTCATTTCAACATTTGGTTTCTCCATGGAAATAAAACATTCTATAAATTTGATAGCCATTACCACAAGGTTCCGGTGTGAGCAATAGATGTAGCCATCTTATCCGCAAAACTCAGCATCTGCACAAGGTTTCTTCGTTATTGCTGTAGTGCTCTAAATTATTTAACCCTTTTAGTTAGAAGAATCCCCTGTTTTCTTATTTTCCTTCGCGAAACTCAGTTCTTTAGGGTTGATTACATCAACTCGAATCGATATTATTCTGCCATTCTCTTCTTCGTTCCATTTAATCGATTCCTTCTCTAGCTGTTTCATAATCTGCAAAAGAATATTTTTCAAGCGTTTAACTTATAAAACAAATAGATCGTTTGCATTATCTATATGATGATTAAACTCAAGTTAGCTTGCAATGCATAAGATTTCGTAAATTGCTTAACCATGTCAGGAGTTCAGTTAAGAAGCTTAACACAATCATACAAGTTAAGCCTGCTGTTGAGAAACTAATATAAAGATTGGGATGTTTGTTTTGGGGTTCAAAAATATATTCAAAGTACAATAAATAATAGTTTGAAACAATAAGTCATACCAATCGTCTTCGAGCTGCCTTTTTAGTATCTTCTTCAATGGTTCCCACTATAATCCTTAAATACTTAATAGCTGTGTCAAAATGAGTAAATGAGGAGTTATGGTAGTTTACTAGTAAAATATAAAGTACTGTGTGATGACCTCAAGATGAGTAAATAAATAAGTTATTGTGGTTTACTTGTAAAATACAAAGATTTGAGAATAGAAGAGAGTGGTAGCTTACTAGGGATGCCAGATACAGAAGCTAAATGGATTCGGAGAAGATTAAGAGCTTCCTTGGGTTTGAAGTTACGCAAATCAAGAGACATAATTTCATCATCTGCGCAACTGAATTCAAACTTTGTGACACCATTTTCAAAAGCAACAGAGCAAATTGTATAACAACACTAAGAAATTAAATATATACCAACCTGGATTCAAGCATCTTTGCAGATGATTTTTCGTCTGCCTCTCGAGCCTTTCTGTTAAAAATGTGACCCTAGACATTCACCAAAAGAAATAAAACTCATCAAGAATTACATCTAGTGATGAGGATATTACCACTATAAAAGTTCTTTTAGGAATTGTATATTATTATTATTATTATTATTAAACCGCCTTTTAATTTTCAGTTGATCGAGTGTTGAAGATTGATATAGGAAAAAATATATCTAAAGAGCGGCAAAGATCTGAATCGTACTAGCTCCATGATTTTAGTTGCTCTTGCCTCGTCACCCTCAGCATATGCTTCAGCAGCCTGGAAGTTAATCAAGATTGTTACCAGTATTCACACGTTTCAATTTAAAAATCACTCAATAGAAGCATTGGCACTGTAATGCTGCAAAATAGGCTGAATGAAGAGCAAGTTCTTGAGACGTTGCAAAAGAAAAGGAATCGTGAAACTTATTAGATGGCCTCATCATATATCTTTAAAACTAAAGCAGCCTAATGATCATTATTTACCAACTTTGGACTTGCTTTTCTAAAACTAGTTCAATGAAAAGTTTATAGAAAGATATTTATCGAGTATATCTTCAACTTTTTGCAGATTAAACAACTTACAGCTTTATAGTATTCTTTCATAGTCATCCAATACTCCTTCACAGCTTGACGTAAGTCATCGTAGCTATTCTCATCGTCGTCACATTGATCTTCCACTGTAGAAGAAACCAAAAACAAGAAGGTTATGATGATCAGAAAAGTTGTTATAGGAATAGCAGAAATGAAAGAAAATCATTAACTTCGTCTGCAATGTTCAATGGATTGATGTGTATGTATGTCTATCATGCAGTCATGGGAGTAACAACTCTATCGCAATATGAAAGCATATGTAAAACTTTTACCATCTTTCGAAACTTTCATCATTTCTACAACATTTTTTGTAAGGCTTGTATCTTTGTCCTCGAGAGGTTCGGTCACCAATTCACCGAGTGCCTTTGATCTCCTCACCTCACTAACTACACGGTTTCTTTTTGCTGCTTCCTCGGATGTTTCAGTAACAGTGAACAAAGCTTCTAAGATTTCTCTCTCTTGATTGACTTTGTCTTTGTTTCCTCTTGGAGATCTTTTAGGATTTCTTATCATAGATGCAGTAAAGGTGCAAAGAATAACAGTAGCAGAATTAAATATAAGAACCAATCAACGGCAGCCTTCCTCGAAAACATATTTGTTTCAAAGAATTAAAAGTCCAACAACGACAACAACAAAATGAAAAAGGAAATACACCTTTGAGAAAAATCTTTGGATTGCGGTTTCCCTTGGATTAAAAAGGATTGGTTCTCCAGACATCTCCCCGTGAACTGTACAAAGGATTGTGGAGAAAAGATGAGTAAAGAGACATGTAACTTTCAGACAGGAATAATTCCTGTCAACTGCGGGGGTTAATATGATATATGACACATTACTGGAAATATGAACATTCGCACAATTCAATTGTAAAAAAAACCAGTACTATCATCTGAATTTTTGAGAAGTTGATAGTGCTTTCTGCTAGAAACCATAAAATAATTAGGTACTGAAATGGACTAAACTCGGCCTCACCTTTTCAGCAGCTATACCAATAACATCATCAGATTTCGCTAAAGTTGAAGCTGACATATCAAGCAGTTTGTCCATGCTCTATATGACCAATAAAACAAACTAATGTCATCAACTGAGGTTGGGATGATAAATTAATTATAGATCAACAGGAAGATGTTAAAATGAATGCAACATAGAGGCTGAAACTGGAAAACGTTGAATGTTCTTTCTCTTCCTTCAAATGACCAACCGACATTGAGAGTTTAAGTCATGATCATCACAAAATCTGGTCTCTCAGGAAAAAAGGAAAAGAAAAGAGAAAGTACTTCCTATGAACAGAATCTAAAATGCTCGTGAGTTACAAAAAATAGTTGTTATCTGATAGAACAGAAACTAAACAAAAAATTCATTAGACGCATTCAAAATTCAAGCTCAAAGGGTAGAAATTTTTCACCTTGTCCACATCATACCCGCAACAATCTGCAAATCAAACAAATGGCGAGGTTAAGCATATTATGAACTCAAATAGTAGCAACAATAGACAAAATATATATGCATTTATATATATTAGTTACAATCTTGTATCCTACTAAAGAGAAAGTATCTTAAACTGACTGCATTGTTTTCTAAGCTAAAAACTATCACTTCCAATGTGGAAAAATAAAAATTTGAGACCAGGGCTTCGAGAGATGGAAAAGATAAAGAAACCAAAGGAGGTAGAAAAGGCCTAGGATAAACTCACACAATCAAACATGTAATAAAATGAACAAATTACTGATCGATATATAAGCATATAAAGAATGAAGAAGAAACTCATGCATAACAAAATCTTGGAATCACAAAATTCCAAGTCAAGGATCATAAAAATGATGATCAGATTAAAAGGGAAAAAAGCTTGGAGCGAAAAGAAATTTAAAACAAAATCAGATATTGTCCTCTGCCTACATTCAATCCATTAATAATGTCAATGCAGTGCTAAGAAAGCAAAGTCTTATAAGATCCGACACGGTCAGAAATAAAGATAGCAATTTGCATGATGAGAGCAGTAAACAACTCAAAGACTAAATAAGGTAATGGATTTACCAAGTACTTCTTGAATTACGGATTTGTCAAGTTGAAATCCATCTCCTAGCATCTGAAACAAAAATTTCTCAAGATCACCATTTGTGGTGCTATTCCTAGTTTTTCTACTTGATGGATCTTCTTCACTCCATATCAAAGATTTAAGTAATTTCTTTGAATCTATTTCCACAGGTTTGGTAGCATCAGAACAGTTCTTTCTTGACGACCTTGGTTTAACATAGTTTTTTCCTATCACACCAGCAACACTGCCTGCTGATACAGAACATCGTTTTGACTTATATGTTCCGATATTGAGATTGATAGATGTATTTTCTGAAGATGTTGTACTTGCACCAACAGACTTATTTTCATATGCATTGGATGTTGCTCTTGAAGTACTTCCATGGTTTCTTGCATAGAGAATGTCGCCGGTAACATTGACATTTCCTTTTGCATCGTAATAAGCAGAAGCAATGTCCTCAAGAGAAAACTTCGAACCAAAAGCATCAAGCAGCTCATTGAGAGCTTCCTCATCAAAAATTGAAGCACAGGCAATGCCTTCCATTCTAATATGTCCTGCACAAAAAGAGAGGAAAAGGAAAAGAGATGTATAAATTTTGATGAACAGATATGATATTGGAAGAAAACAAATATGGTTGGGAAAGAAATACTGAAAAACGAGCAGAGAACAACTAATTTAGCAGGCCAGCTGAACTTTATAAAAGTGATGATATACTTGCCAGATTTGCAATTCTTTCTCTATACCGCCTAATCTTTTTTATTGTATTGAAATCATTAAAAACAATTGATGTAACGGACAATTCGTTACGAGGTCGAAACGGCAGTTCATCTCAGTCCACATTCAGGATCACATGAGAATCACAACTGGAGTCACATGATCCACAGCGCAGTTTGAAAGAAGACCTAACAAATCAGGTAACTATGGCGTTTGAAAGCGGTCTAGCAAATAAGGTAATTGAATTATAAATTATATCAACATTCAAATGACTAATTTCTTGATGGCCCTACTTAGAGATATTCAAATAAAAACCAACTAGTAATCAAGAAAAAACCAAAACCAACTATGATTTAGAATCATTCTTTCTGGTGGCAGATGTGATTGTACTCGTAAATGCAGAATTCAAAACCTAAAGGCAAAGCAGAACCGTTTTTTCAAAGCAATGCCAAATTGTCTATAATTTTTTTACCCTTTTCTGTTTTATCAACTAAACAACATGTATTAGACATGTAAAATCCAAAAATGCTGTAATTCGAATAAGAAAGGAAACTTTAGTTAATAAAGAAACATCTTATTTTATAGAAGTTCTGATAAGAAAACTGGACAACACACAAAAGAAAGCAATGGAATAACTTATATTTATCTCTCTATCTGTTTTTTTTTTCAATTCATCATTAACCAAACAGATGAATGTCCAACAAATCCAACTATTATGCAATAGAAATGATCAACAAATCCACTTCTGCAGCAATGAAAATGTTAAAATAAAAAATAAAACAATAAAAAGGTTTTCATTTTTCTTCTGCATTCATTGTCCACCGGTTTCTCTGTAACCAAACAATGACCAAAATTCAGAATCGTTACTCGAATCTTCAAGGAAGGATGATAGGAGTGAGAAGTAGATGAATAAGATCGAGCTTACCTTACAAAATATCATCATTTCCACATAAAGATCAAAGTAAGTAAAAGTATGATTCAGAAAACAAAGAACTAAACTTTTTGGCTACCAAAAGGAAATCAAAAAGTTTGTGCTGAAAAAAAAGTGAAAAAAAAGTTTAGAATGAACCTGCACGTGTTGAACGTAGTGATGAGTCACATTGTATTTCTGGAAGAATTGACATCATGAAACTCAAGCACAAACATAAATCTGACATCAGAAAATATAATTTGCATGAAAAAGTGATCAGGCCAGAGTTGCAATGTCACAGAGAGGATTAATGGTAAAGATTGAATGAATGCATGAATGGTTACCTGAAGTAAATTTCGCCTTTTTTTTTTTGTTCTTTTTTTAGGTTAAGCTCAGCATCTTCAAGGAGTTAAAATCAGATGAAAAGGGTAAAATCAAAGGGCTACTTGTTAAAGAATCTGATGATGCTCTGTAACCCTATTTCAGTAGAAATTATATCATTAATTATTCTCACTAGTAGGAGTGAGCATATCGAGTCAAGTAAAAAATTTCAGGTATTCGAATTAATGAATAGTATTTTATGATATATATATATATATAATGATTAAAATCGTAAAATGGAATTAGTTAGTATTATAATATTATAAATATTTATAATTAAATTTAAACAAAAATTCAAATAATTCGATTTTAATTTTATAAATTTAACTCAAAATTTTTAAATAAATTTAAATTAAAATAGAACTCATCAACTACTCATCTCTAACTCTAATATTTTAAAAATGAGTTAATATACATTCACGCTTAGTAGATGGTAACTCATTATTAATGACATACAACAATTACGATGATAGTTTATTACGACTCCAAATTATGATCATTTAAACATAGTTACGATTCCTAAACAAAAAAAAATATGATTTTATTTAAGATAAAATACACTAAAGATCACTAAATTATGTTTAAATGATCGTTTGATTACTAAACTTTTAAAAATTATAAAATGCTTATTATAATTTTCAAATAGTTACAAATGACAATTAAGTTTATTGAATTATTACAAAATGATCCTAAAACAAAATGCTTATTATTGAAATATAATAAAATAGTCATTAAATTTATGGAACTTATATAATTGATTAGAACATCATTTGATTATTTTGTAATAACTTGATAGATTTAATAATTATTTTATAACATTGTACTTTACCCTTTTCCTTTTGTTAAAAAATTTAAAAAGCTTTCATTTTTCAGCTTTCCTAACTCATTATGCTGGTAATTCACAAGTGGTCCTTGGGGCTGATGTTTGTATTGCAAGAATGTTTTTCACCTACGGTAATGGTAATTACTTGTTTCTTGTTGAGCTTCAATAGATGAATCTCTAAGATCAGTGATGGATGTTCTACTTGGAAATAGAAAACTACGTGAACTGCTTTCTTTGTTTTACAAATTCCTGTTACAGTGTACATGTTACAATCTGTGAACCTATGAATCTGTTCTTCTTCCGTCAGAAGAGGCCTATGAATCTTGGACGGAACAGAATGAAAAGAAAATTGTGAGCAACCCTCTTGGAGTTTCGTTAGAAACTTCCGAAGGTCCATCTGCGTGTGACCCTGGCTGCTGGTTGCATCTCGATCTCACTTGATGTACTAGCACGGGATGCATAAACATCGGTCAGTCGATGAAGATTTTCATGGACTGACGTTAATGTGGTTAATGTGCTTGTGTCTGTTTGGATGGCTGAATCATCGGCGAAACGCGCATGCATTCTCCTTCTCTTTCTGCTTCTTCTCCTAGCCTCCTTACCCCATCCATGGATCGTCTCCCTTACGCTTTGCGGAATTAGAGCCGCCTTAAAGTTTGTTCCCATCTGAAACCAGAGTTGTGAATGAGATTAAGTGCACATAATCAACCGTTAATGTCTTTGTCCATGAACAATTATGGTATACCTGAGTGACCAGAGCATAGAGTGGCAGAGTGATGTAGCTACACACAAACTGCCCGGCAAACCTACGAGGTACAAATGATAACTCAAGGACCGATACTGACAAAAATTTCACGACGAAATCGAGACTAGAAAAAATGTATACATACCCCAAAACAATTCGCATGTAAACAAGCGTATGGTTACTGAGGAAACATGAATTATAGCCGAACTGCCACTGCAAAGATATCAACAGAAGGTAATTATCATGCCAAGATCCTACATGCCTCTGGGTTATACCATCAGAGTTTGATTCTTATGTTTATATCTCATGTTCTGTAAGGCTTTTTTACTATGTGAAATTACAAGAAGCATTCAGCCGATGTCGCAGAAATATAGCAACACATATCGACGGAGAATGGTGCATTCTATCATATGACAGAAAATCATCTTCAACATTGTTATTAGATGTCGGTGCAGTCGGGGAAAAGAAAGTACCCAGTACCAAAAGAATGAAGCTAGTTCGAATGAGTTCTGCAGAGAAACGAAGCAAGAACATTAGTCCGACGAAACAAAATACAGCCTGAGATGTAAAATTCTTGTACTTAGACTGATTTGCTATAAACAACGACCTGGAATAGAATGAAATGGATAAGGTACAACAACCCTTCTGGCTTCTTAAACCAGAAAAGTTCATCTCGAGGCCTCAGCCTTGCTTCAGAACAGTAGCTGGTTATCCCGGCACTCTCAAGTGTCAACGTCGCCATGACATGCTGCAACTTTGCTCCCACAAGAAGAACAAGCTGTCACATGAAGTTATAAGCATACAAAATCAGAATGACATTAAAGATTACAGTCCAAGTAATCCGAGCTAATTCTGGACTTACAGTAATGGGAATGATAGCTATCCAGAAATAAAGATAAGATCCTGTAACACGAACGCACACCATTCACATAGGTGACAAGATCGATATCGTCGTTCCTACATAGTCCTCTGCGCTTTAAACAAAGCGGAAACAATGGCTGAGTTGAAATGTACAATACCTTTCACATTGCATAGCGTGAAGACGATAACAAAACCCCAAAGAGGAGCGCTGCAGGGAGTTAAACGAACAGATTGTTAGCAATCTGCAATGCTAAAATCAACCCAACCATTAAGCCGACAACGAATGGCGCTGTAAATCATTCGATATAGAGAAAGATAACGACGGATGCACGATGTAGGAGCAATCACAGGCTTCATTAACAATTTGACTGAAAAGTATGAATACATTACTTGCCTAATACCAACTATCTTTCGAAATTCTTCTTCCATGGAACGAACCATATAGTTGTGAAAATCGTATTTTGGGGACAGATTGTGATTCTGCCATGAATATGAAAGAAAAAAAGGCATAAGCATTCATAAGATTACTTCAATGAACAAGGCTATAAACAACACATACTGTGATGAACCCCTTGCGAAGAGTCAGATAGTCATTTTTAACAACCGACCACCCGAATTGCCGGAAGAAGCATATCTGCAAGTCGAATATATGCGAATGAGAAAAAACATACAAACGCATCACAAATCGACAATGAATCAACTCTTGCAGTAAACGTAGCAAGAAGAAATGCTCTGTACCTACCAACCAGATAATGGCTCTGTTTTTCGTCAAGGGGTTCGATCTGTGGTTTACAACGAAAGCTGTTTGTCTTTGCATTAACGACTCTCTAGCTTGTGCTGCACCAAATAAACCATAATCAATCATATAATGTCTTGAAAATTAAGGCATCAAACTGTTTGAACATACCAGTTAAAAAACCATGTTGTCCCTTTCGAGTTTCCTCCTCCCATGCCCTCCATCTATGAATCTACCAAAATAGTTATCAAAACGTGAGCAAATAATAGCAGCATAGAACTGTTAATTCCTTCATAACAATCAAAAGATCAACCTTCACGATTGCAAGTAGCATCGTTAAGCAACTGTAAGCTATATGTGTGATCGCCATTACGAAGATGAAGCGATGCAACTGCTCGAGACCTTCATGTGAAACAAATGGCTCATGACCCTGCATAACACAATAATTCAATGGAAGATCGTGTAGAAAAAACATGCAGAAGGTTAAAATATGGATCAGCTACATGCCTCTTTGCAGTTGATGGTGTTCATGCCTCTCAACATTCTCGGAAATGAGCTAAAATCGGAAGCCGTCAAAAGGCGACGCTCTTTGGAGGAATCATTTTCATCTCCTTCATCCGTCTCAAACCTGGAGCATGGTGCGAAGGTACCATGATAGAACCTTGATGAGATGCAGATATTAGCTATTTCTGTCGATGTTGCTACTAGGAGGAGTGACATGAATCCAAGCAGCATTAACTCTGAAGAATTTCATTTTGTAGTAATTTTACGATAAATGAAGTGATGGTAAATATGAGTATGGGACTCGAAAACCGAACCAGAAAACAACATTTCATACGTTTCATTAGGTTAAAAGTTAATGAAATATACCTTCTTTCATCTTATCCAAAGCTTTAAGCAGAGGTTTTCTCTCAGTTTTCTTTAACCACTGAAACAAAAAATATATATAATACAGAAGATGTTATCTTTACATTGAGCCTTTAACGATCAACACACGATACTCACGCTGGTTAGGTAGTGAATTGAGCGCTCCACGATCAAAGAAACTGTAACAAAGAATGTCAACACAGTAGCAAGAGACCATGTTGGCGTTGATGCAACTGATCTCATTTCTTTATCATCCTCCTCCACACTTTCCACCATTTTTAAACACTCAAAAAATCCTCTAATACTTATACTGCCTCAATCTTAAGCTACAACCAATGCTACCCAATATAAAAAGAAGAAATCAACAATCCATGATATTACACTTCAAGAACAATACACAAAATTTTGGAAACCAGAAAGCCATATCCCTCTAAATCTTAAAAATCCACAAAGTTGATCTTCAAATCTTCAAACTTCCTCCTATCCTTTGAATATTAAAAACTTTGAACCCATAAACTTCTAATCCATGATATTTCCCCCTTCTTTTCAACCTTTTGGAAAGAACCCGAGTTTTAGCATGAAAAAGGAAATTGCATGCAGTATTGGGTGGCGTTTCCTCAGCTTTTTCGTTCATGCAATGGTAAATTCTGATCACACTGAAGAATTAAACCACCATGAAAGCCAAAAACTTTGAAGAGGAGAGTTTAATACTTTGAATAGTTTTTGGCCTCTCGAATATTCAAAGCTTCTTCTCTGTGTGGAGTCTGAGCTCTTCTTCTGTATTAAATGTCCATTTTTTACAGTTCTACGTAAATATAACGAAAAAAGAGGAAAGAGATGATTAATGGAAGGAAAAGACAAAGCAATTGAATCTTGAAGAGCTCACATTCACAGTTATGGCAGATCTCATTTGTAGCAGAAAAAATAACGGATTTTCATATTTCAATGAGCTTGAATTTTTTTTTTAGAAATAAACATGGAAATGACAAATGAGAACTTTTTATATAAAAAGGGTAAACAACATTGGTGATCCCTTATGTCTTTGGTTTGTTCGATCATGGTCACCGGTTCAAAAAAAATGGTTTTGGTCACCTTTGTTTTCGATGTCTTATTTTGGTCACTCGATAGTTAAATCTCAATAGTTTGCTTACATATTGTTAGTAAAAATGGTTAAATTTTAACTTGACATCTAAATTTTAGATAAAATACTAATTTAACCCCTAAACTTTATATAAAATATTAAATTACTCTTAAATCCAGTCAAAGCTCATGTCATTTGCTTTCACTCATCATCTTTGAACTTCTTTTACACCCAATTAAGAATTTAACTCAAAACAATTTATCAATGTGGTCCTTTGACTAACAAAAATCGTCATTGATCGTTACAGTACTGATGTGGTAGTTTACAGTAGGATTTTTCATGGACGGTTAATCGTATCGTTTAGCTTAAACGGTCAGTTAAACGTTATAACGTTTACGATATTTTTCTAACCGTAACCTAACCGTTAAGAAACGGTTAACCATTATTAACGGTTTAGTTATAAGTTAACTTATGGTTAACCTATTACAATTATTTTTTTAAATAACACAATGTGAATGTTTTAAAGTTCCATAATTCATACTAAAAAAATGTAGCACTTAACACATACTTACACTGGTGTAAGTGAATAAAATAAAAAAGTGTAGCACTTAATATATACTTACACCAATGTAAGTATGTACACCTTTCAATATATTGGTACCTAACAATAAACACATAATTATATTGGTGTATATAAGTTTATATATTTTTCAAAGAAATAATAAATTAAAAATAATAAAATATATATATATATATTAAATTATTTGTGTACAAATTTTATTAAAAAATATATAAATTATAAATAATAAAAAATTATATTTTTTATAAACTTTAATGTAAATATTATACTAACAGTTCATACACCATCAAAGCTTTAAAGACAAATCTTTAACATACATAAATTTTTGTGGAAGGACTAGTTTTGCTAGAGAGTGGAGAGTGAGTGAAGTTGTGAAACTGAAGACTGCCCGATAAATTTTAGGAATAGAGATAAAATTTACTTCTAATTCTATTAATATATTTTTCCTAAAAAATATAATTATAAATTTAATTTATTAACGGTTAAAATGGTTAATCGTTTATTAAAATTTGTAAATGTAACGTTAACTTTAACCTTAATCGTTAACCATTATTTTTAGCGGTTCAGTTAACCGAAACTATTACATTAACTCTTCGATTAATTAACATGTTAAATGTAACGATTATACCGATTAACAATTACGATTAACAGTTATAGGTTTTTTAAACACCCCTAGTTCACAATGTTGATGTAATTAGAGATGGTCAAAACACCCGAACCTATAGAGGTATTTTAAAAAAATGGGGTTAGGAGCGGGGTGGGATCAAATTTAAGGTGAAAAAACTAACTCGACCCTACCCAATATAAATTATTAATTTATCTCTATTTATATATAATATATTTAATATCTTAGGGATTTTTATCTTTATCTTGTTAAAATATATTTTTTAATTATTAAAAATAAAAAAAATTATAAAATATGTTATTTTAACTGTTTAAAATATAATTCATAATTATAAATATATTATTTTAATTATTTTAAAATATTAACATATTCAGATTGGGTTGACTCGGGGTCAGGATTTTAACCTAAAAATTGGGACAAGATCGAAGTGGGAGAAAAACTAAAATTTATTGGGGAAGGATCAAGTATAAGAAAAATATTTTCGGATCGGTGTTGGGGAAAACCGACTTGACCCACCCCGTGCTCATCCCTAGATGTTATAACCTATGAAGTTAGGGTGGGCTATATGTGCTAAAGTCCACGTGTGAATGCTAAAATGATAGAGGGATTTAATTGATTTATTTTAAAATTTGAGAGCTTAACTATTCTTTTATAAAGTTTGAGAATTTATTTAATTTTTACGGAAAAAAACATAAAGACTAAGAATTATTTAAAATTTAAAATATTATATGTATTAGATGTTACAAATAACTAAAAGTAAAAATACTATTAAAAAATCATCTCTTTTTTTTTGTCTCATTGCTAATATAATTATTTTTTCAATCATTGATAAGTCGTTCATCTCTTTTTCTTTTTGTCTTCGTTAAAGGACTGTGGTACCAACTCTAATATTAATTGTCGACAGTTGATATTTTTTATTGTTATTTTCTTTTATTTTTTAATAAGTTTACGTGTATGATACGTTTTCTTCTTCCTTTTGACATATTTTTCCTTTGTTTTTTTGCACGTTTTTCAATCGTTATTTTTACTTATCTTTTTCTAGGGATTGATTTGACATCGCCACGACTGATCAAGATAGTGTTTTTCTGTTATATTGTTGATTTTCCCTACTTTGTACCCTCGGATTTGATTTGGATACCCGTTATGCGTTCGTGCATAGCTTTTCGCGTCGCTCGAGTCTGGTTTATGGTTTGTCGGTGGTCTTTCAATAGATTGATCCCCTTTTGTGGTTCGTTTGTCGATGCAATCATATTTGTTTATATCTATCTTTGTTTGAGTTTTCTTGGTTACATTTTAATCTTTCTTTGTGTGATCTTAAGTTGTTAATTTTGTTTCAATGATTACAAGAAATTGTCCTAATTATATATTTAATGCTTAATTTACGACTATTATTGTAAATTTTTATTATAATTTAGAATATTTATTATTTTAAATAAAATTAGTGATTTCTACATAAAAAATAAAATAATAAATATTTTAAATATTGAATGCATTTATTGAGTAATTCTTGGATCGTCTCTCATCCGCATAGGTATATTACTATTTGTTGAACATATTTTTGATTGAATCAACTTCACTTTATCTATGAATAGCTTTTGAGGTTCTTCCTATAGTTTAGAGACAGATTATGAGATAGACTTTACACCAATGTTATGTTCATAAATTTGCAACATCTCATCATTTTATACTAAAGGAATAACCTCAAAAGTCATTGATAGATAAAATTGATGTTGAAAAAAATTAAAGATTTTTTTTATGATAGCTAACTAATTAGACAATTAGTGATATTTCTATAGCGTAGGCAAAATCGTCGGTAGTTCTAATTGATACCGTTATCGTAGTTGTCGGAGATTTTATTCTAATTTTTTTATACTTTTAGAAACAAATTGAAAAAAATAATTAAAATACATAAATTACAATGAAAACTTATAAAAATTGATTATGCAATAGAATGACCGGTAAACTATACAAATAGTCATTAAATTTTGAGTAAGTTTTCGTTTTTCCCATAAAACTTTCAAAAGTTTTACCTCTAAACTACTATAAAAAATGACGGATCACTAATATTATTGATTTGTAACAAAATGGACACTATTCAGTCATCCCATTAAATTAATAACGGGACAACGTTATAAAAAGGTTAATGTTTAATTTTACCTCTAAACTACTGTCAAAACATCAAATAGGTCTTTAAACAATAATTTTATATTTAATTTACCTAAAAAATTAATTTCCAATTTTTTTTAAATACTCACCACCACCACCACCGTATTCTTCCCCTCCCCGCCTCTCCCACCTCACCAGCTCCCAAACCCAGTGATGGGGGCTGCAATCGGGATAAGAGAAACCCGAAGCTAGGAGATTTGAGAAACTAAAACATGAATATCGCTTAGTTTGAAATGGGAAAAAACATTATTCAAAAAAGTAGAGAAAAACTTTTCTGCTGCATATTTATATATAAAGAACTTAAAAGTCAGCTTCTATTAAATAACAGACACTCCTGCCACCAAAGTGAACAACCATCAACCTATGCCTGAAGATAGAACTAAAATGGTTGTAGAAGATATGCTCGATACTGAAGTAAAGCACAGTAGCACACCATATGCTTTCAGCTTTAAACTAGAATTTACCCACCATGTCTTGAGTTGATATGGAACATGCTTTACATTTAAATTATTCAACACTAAAACTCTAACAATATATTCATAACGTTTACGGCATAAATATCATAAAGAATAGTGTAAATTTTCAAGAACTGATGAAATACTCTGTTATGAATGAGTCTGTATGAGTAGATAAGAAAATGAAGAATACTCTTCACATCACCAGCAACTTTCCAGGTGTTGTTTTATTCCTTCTTAATGACTACAACACTTACGAAACTAAATACCAAATTCAAGAAACAAACTGTCTTTTAGAAGGAAGCCAATGAAATGTAAAGATACAAACCAGGCATATGAAATTGAATATATTTGCACCGTTCAGTTAAGCATTTGACAAGCTCAGCAAGGTCCTTAGAGCCTAGATTAGGTTATAGGTTTTAAACCATATATATAGCAGGCAAAAGAACCCAAATCCTTAGCTTTTTTTAAAGTCAATTTGAAGCCTTTATTTGTCTTTATTGCCACCAATGATTATCTATGAAATACCTAACATATAAAACACATATGACAGCCAAAAAAAAACATCTGAGAAAACAGCCATGCAGTTTAATCTTAAAAAACCTTTACGTTTCATCTGTATATTCTTGCCTCTCTCCAGCTCATATCTACGTTTCCATTCAGCAGCCTCAGCTTGTGCACTAGTTTCTCTTATTCCGATTCCAGTCTCCATCATTGGGTTTGGGAGCTGATGAGGTGAGAGAGGGGAGGAATACGGTGGTGGTGGGTATTTGGAAAAAAAATAGAAATTATTTTTTAGGTAAATTAGATATGAAATCATTGTTTAAGAATTTATTTGATGTTTTAGTAATAGTTTAGGGATAAAACTAAATATTAACCTTTTTATTAACATTTCACGCCATCAATTTGACGGAGATAACGGTGGAGTGACTATTTTGATACAAATCGATAATATTAGTGACCAATTTGTAGTTTTTAAAAGTTTAGTAAAAAATAAAAATTTATTCAAATTTAATGACTCGTGTAATTTACCCTAAAATAAAATAATGATTTAAGCATGGGATACAAAATTGAATTCATTCATCTGATCTAAGAATGAAAGGAATCATTCATTATTCTGGTCTATCTAATAGTTGGAAGTTTGATTACCAAACTCTCTTTCTAAGCAATAGGTTCCATATGTTCCCTGAAAACCTTTAACATGTCGGAAAATGTGACGATTCCGACCAAGCTACAATCATCTTCTATAACCCAAACGTAGTTAACTCTATGAGAAATGGCTTGGATCATCACTGCAACTAATGAACTCTTGGGATGACAAACGATCGCCTCGGCTCCCCTCACCATCCTGGCCGAATAACTCATCGACCTACTATGTCTCAGGGACCTCGGCAATGGCGACACTTGAACCCCTGTGGATTCCTCATCGGACCACGAAGATGATGACGATGAGAATCCACCACATGACAGTGACGTAGTCAAATGTTCGAGCATTCCATTCAAGTTTCTCTCCTTCAACCGTGCGGAAACGACCCGGACTAGGTCCTTTGGTGGACCTCCACAGTCGATGTAGGCCATTAGATCCCCGGAGGACAACGTCTTGATGGCTGCTGCGACCGTCTCGTCGCAGCAGGCCAAGGTGAATGGAGAGATTTCTCCGACCAAAGTTCCCTCGCTGTCAACGACGGCCACTGAAGTTTGGTCCATTAGAGCTCGAGAAATGGCTCCTATGGCCGCAGAGGCAGGGGAGTGGTACTCGATGGTGAGGATTTCGGAGCTGATGATGCCGAGTGTGCCGATGGAGAAGGCGGGGATCGGCGAAAAGAGGCCAATGAAACTGAGTAGGAATCTGATTATGTCTTCTTGTGTTAGCCAACAAAATTCACGGCCTTTGTGAATAGTTACCGTCGGTGATTGCTTCTGGTGCTGTTTTCTCTTGTTCCCAAGCTCCGTTTTGATTGGAACAACAAGGTTTTGAGCTCCTCCAACTATAAGATCAATTGCGTGCAACAAGCTGATAAAACAAAGAGAATGATTAGAATTAATAATTTCAATGAAGATAGAACAAAAACTGGGACTTCAATTACCTGCAAGAGGGTTCCACATGCAAAACAAGGCCATGGATCTTCGGCAAAAGCACAGAAACAGGCTCCTTCAAAGCAAGCGAAGGCGACGCCAACTTTTCATCTTTACAAAGATAACAAATCAAGTCCACCATACAAACTCTGCCTACACATCTACAATCATCCCCGTAATCACCAGCAACCTCACGATCGCAACTCCAGACGCTAACAGAGTTATCACCGGAAGTTTTCAACACCTCAAGAGCGTCGGCGACGGTGGACGTTATCGAAAGTGACCTCAGCGCCGGCTTGCCAAGACACAAGTCAGATAATTCATGTGAAAATAACCTCACTGCCATGCAAAAAAAAAAGGTTTCTTTTTTGTTTCTTAGATTAATTTCTTGAAGATGGATGGTGTACGCTGGAGATTGTTGATGGGCATATATATAATATAAGTGGTGGCCGTGTTTGGTTGGAACGTGAAGGAAAGAGGATGGTAGTACGGAATAAAGTACCAAATTGAGGGCAGATATGATGTAGGGTCCACTGAATTTTGTATTGTAATATGAAATTAGTGAATAATTGAAATTACAGATCAGCTGTCCAGTTGCCATTCTGTCATGCCATCTGTGCCATGAGTTTACGGTTTCATACTTTAAAGTGCAGAGTTGGTTCACATTATTATATTAATTATTTGCTTTTACACGTCATCAAGTTATTGCAACGTGAATGATCTTTTTCTCGACGGTTCTCACTTTGATTTTGAGAAAACAATATTTTATTTTATTAATTTTGTTTAATTAAATTAAATAGATAATTTATTGTTTCGATTTTTCAGTTCGTGTGAGTTGTTTTTGTAATTTATTTTGAATTAAAAAATATTGATTCAACTATAGATCAATCTTATTCATATATATTTAATGGCAAATGTATGTGTACTTTAGAGTGGATATGCGTATAATTTGAAATTCGATATTCTTATGTCAATTATTCATTTTACTAATGGAATGTATTTTGAAATATTATTTGCACATAAGTCTCGTAAGAAAATTATATATATATATCCCTTTAAAAAATATTTATGGACCCACTACAATATATATTATAACTATCATTTCAATTGTGAATAAATTTATATTCAAAAATATTATTCTATAATCTCTTAAAAGTAATAAAATGAATTTAATAGTTGAATCTATATTTGAAGTATTATTTCAAAATTCATTGAAAAAAATTAATTATGTATTATGATGATTACTTTTGATTTTAATTATTTAAAGTATTATTTGGAATTGTACTAACAATTGTATTTATACCGTAAAAAGTAAAATGGATTTAATAATTATATATATATGATGGAAACATAATGGCTCTTTGTTTAACTATAGGTGTAACACCCCAATTTAGGGGCTAAAATTTAGAATTTATAAAGTGGTGAATTTAATTGGTATTTTTGGAAGAAATTAGGATTAAATTGTAATATCGTAAAGTTGACATACCATTTTAAGAAGTGCAGGAAGTTCAGTGACTAAATTCATAATTTAGTCATTTTCCTTTATGAGAGAATTTATAACCCCTCTCCCGTGCTGCAGAATTTATTTTTTCAGTTTTTCTCTTCCGTTGACCCAACTTTCAACTCTGATCTACTCGTCGTCGATCTCCGATCGACGAGCTGAAACCACCATCGTGTTCGTTGTCAACTAAGGAACAAAACCCCTCAAACCTTTCGTCGTGAATCGTCACCGTTCGTCGTTAATTTCAGTCGGAAGTACCGTCGGTAATAACTTAATTTTAGTTGGTTTTTCATCGATTCACGACGACCGGGTCATCCGTTTACGACACCTCCCGCACCATCGTGTTCCTTGTTCCGTTCCGAGTCTGCCGGTGTCATCCTTGGTCTCCGTCGACGGCGGCGCGTGAGGAGGTGAAACGGTCAAAGTTTCCGATTCGTTGAAATCGAGCTCTCCGCCGTTCAAAATTGTGAACCGAGTTTTGTAAGTATCTCGGAATCGCTCAAAATAATTTTTAAGAATTTTCCATGATTTTTAGGCAGCCGGAAAGGGCCCCACACGCCGCCAATGCGCGTGGGATGATCCAAATGATCATTTTGACCGGTTTTGGAGCAGAGTTGACCGGTTTGACCAGTCATAACCCGACCCGACCCGTTGACCCGACCCGTCCCGTTGACCCGATCTGACCTGTTAACCGTTGATCGAGGTTGACCACTGTTGACCAAAACTTTGACTGGCTTTGACCGGGCATTAAACGACCTTTGATTTTGACCAAGTATACCTATCCTGACATTTTTCGATGTTCCAAATCCGATTCCGCTTTCCGTTTTTCGAAATTCGAACCCGAAGGCCTTGAAATTGCAGGTCAAACCCGTTGACTTTGATTTTGACCAAAAATTCCAAATTTCTGAAAAGTCATATTTTATGCTTTCGATATCCTGAATCCGAATCCAAAGTCCGTTTTTCCAAATTCGAACCCGGTAAGCTATCTTTCACTGATTTATCACCCGATTCGATCCGTTTATCGTAATTAAGCTCCGTTTTTATATAATTTATGTTAATATGTATCTGAGGAATTATTGGAAGTTGAATTGAAGATCAAAGGCGTTTGAATGGAATATTTATGGTCAATCAGTATTGCACGGAAATCGAGGTAATACTTTACTACCTCTTTATGCTTTATGGAACATGTTGATATTAATAAATGCATGAATAAGATAATGTTGATCACTTTTGTGGAGTTGATTAATTTATACACTCGATATGAATGTGGTAGAAATTCGATAACTGAATTCGGATCGAATGATTAATATAAGAGATTGAGGGAATGTTATAATTAAATTACAAGTTGTGTGATTTGTGATAAAGAAATCAGCCATGGATTTGTAACTTATATTTTAAAGGTTAAATGTTAAAGGTACTTGGATGGGAAATTATGAGAATACTCTGGTAGGGTAAAATTACGAAAATACCCTTATGTTTGAGGATGACAAGAATTGTCCCTGGAAGTTGGTTAATATCTCTGAAAAGACATATTGATCCGATATAATTACAAATGTGCATAAGAAATGCTAGTTTTGCTTAGAAAATTTGGATAATTGGTTTTTAACCTTAAAAGGGTTTATATAAGATATTATAAGTCTGTTAAGGAATCATTTCGAGATCAAAGAATGTTCGGGAAAGCAATTAACCATTGGATCTCTAAAGTATAATTATTTTCGTTAAGAGTTAATACCAAAATTATCTGATTAAGAAATTATGAAAATGCCCTTGAGAGGTAAAAATAGTCCAAGTTGACTCTGAGTGAGGAAGTAACATGAGAATTTGTTTTTAAACCGATAAATTACTGATTTGATTTTTGAGATCCTATTTTTGTATGGAAAATTCTGATAATCTGTTAGTAACATCTGAGAAGGCATTTAACTTGGAAATCTCCAACTTGAGTAAGTACGTGAAGAATAATAATTTATCGATGGTGATATTTTTTCAGAATAGTTCAAAGGGACTGACATAAATGATAAGTTTGAATTAAATAATAAGACCGAACGGAAGGAAATGATTGAAATGTTCTAGATTTGTAAAATGACCAAAATACCCCTAGAATGGAAATGACTCAAGAATGTCACCAAGCTCATGAATGAATGGATATACTCAAGCTTTGAAATGAATAAAAAAAACGTTGAGCACCAAAATGACCAAAATGCCCTTATGACCTATAATAAGTAAATGTCTTGGATTAATTAAGAAATCCAAATAAACATGGATGTTGTGCTACTAGTAAAAGTTATGGAACGCAACTTAAGTGATCAACCAACGTTAGTGCTATATCATTACCTGAATGATATAAGTATCACTTGAATTTTTGTTCATCTTCTCAAATTTGGATCGATGATAATTCTGGAAGTACTTGGCTCGGCTAAACTCTAGAGCGCATACAGTACTAATAAGTGGGTATTCGTGAGTCAAATCAACCACGAATACCAGAATGACTTTATTATATAAATAAATTGAACTGAAATGAAGTACAACGTGTATTTGAAATTCAGAAATGTATGAATTATTCTGGAAAACTTTAAAGTAATCGGGATAGACTTGCTTACTAAACGAACTAAGTAACATCAATGACTGAGGATTAAATAGGTGATTGGATGAGTTTGGAAACACTGTTGAACTTACATGATGAATTGTCCTTATGGGTTATGAGCCATGGATCAAGTACGTCCGTATTTCCTGATATTGTTGAAACGTGGAAATGAAATAAAGACCGTTGGAAGATTTATTCAGTGATGATTATGAGGATGATCTATGGATCTGCATTATAGTATTAAAGAGTGAATACACTGAAAGGATAATGAATTGACTTGTTGACATGCATCAGTTTAGGAGTTGTGTAACTCGAGTTGTTTGATAATATGATCGATAGTCATAGATTGTAAATGACTTGAATCTTCGATTCTATATTTCCATCTAAAATCACTTCGGTCATGTTGGAAAACGCAAGTAACGCAGAAGGAAAAGATTATGAATACCTCATTTGGTTCAATTGGGCTGAAATCCTATGAATTCAAAGTATATTCCTGAATACCCCTGATTGTTTGGGTAATGGAATCACTCGCAGTAAATCTGAATTTAGAATTATTATGTATAAAGGTTCCTGAACGTTTTCCTGATGCATATAGAAACTTAGTGGAATTCTAAAAGTATCAATCTGAAATGCCTGATTAGATCGATTAGAAATCGATTCTCTTCAATAAGATCTTATTATTGGAATCCGATCAAATTGCACAAGTTCATGTTATCCATATTGATAACTACAAAATGCATCTGAAAAATAATTTGATTCTCTAGTGTGTTCCTTATATTTTGAAAAATTGTTTTATTGTTTTAACATGTGGTACACTGAAATCTATGGTTACTATTTTATGGATGCACTGACTTAACGGTGATGGCTTATGGATTTGTATAATTATATAAACTGTATCTTGGAGATACAGATTTGTAAAGTACAGCTCTGATCAAGCTGGAAAATTTTTATGGACCTAATGTGACTCTTAGGTAGGCTTTGCAGCCTTGAGATCATTCTCGGGTAGGCCATGCGGCCCTAAGATGTGTTCTTAGGTAGGCCCCACGACCCCGAAATCTATCTTGGGTAGACTCTCAGGCCCTAAGATGTTCCCTTAGGTTAACTCTTTGTAAGATGGTTTTAAAATACGAGTTTAAAAAGCTCCACTACAGTATGGTTTATGGGATTTTACTGAACTATCATTTGATTAGTGTACCTATTATGGTTTTATTGTACTGATGGAACACACTAGGCATCATATTCGACCTCATGAAAACGTGATAGTATGAAA